GAAGGTCCTTCAACTCACATGGGCTGCTGGTCCAAGGTCAAGGAAGCAGACAGTGGAGTCTGCCCTCAGGTAAGACCGTCAGAGTTGGCAGACCGCAGGGTGGGGCAGCAACACTCAGTAGTGCAGGAGCACAGCAAGGCAGGCCCCATGGGGTCTCAAGCTCTAGTGATGTGCACAGCGACACTATCCACCAGCAGCTCAGCAAAGCAGGTCTTGAAAGAGCCTCAAGCTCTAGCCATGCACGGCAAGGTGACCCGATCCATGGGTTGGCTCAGCCCACAGGTAGCGCAGCACATGGTGAGGCAAAGGACTATTTCAGACAGCAGTATGCTGGTCCCTTCACCAGGGAGAAAGAGGCAGGAGGCCAACCTCGGAAAGCGTTGATCTCAGTCACCTCCAATCAAGCTGTGACCTGATTAAACTCTGCCCACATGTGCCTATGGAGGCCTAGTTGGCACAATAAACTTAATTATCACAGATGCTCAACAAAGAGTTGTTCATGGTAGAATTTCCACTTTTAATGTGGGAGATGCAGGTTCGAGTCCCAGTGAATGCACTTCATGTGCAGTCGTCGCCGTCTGGCAGGGGAGGCTGGGTATTGTTGGGACGTTGAAAAGGTTACAGCAGAGCCTCCAGACAGAGGTGGACTAGGAAGAAAGGTTGGTGACTCTTTCTGAAAAATCAACCAATAAATACCCTGTGGATCCCCACAGTCGAATGTGCAACTGCCTGCGAGTGACACACAACAGTCTCTGCTCCATCGCACAGGGCTGCTATCTCAACCCACCAGCAGGGGCCCAGTTGGCAGCAGCTAATCACAACTACAAGGATAAACACGGAATAAACATTTCCTATCCACGGTCCCTCCTCACCCATCCAAACCCACTGCCGTCAAGTCTCTGCTGACCCACCGCAAACCTCTATAGGGTTTCCAAGGCTGTAAATCTTTATAGGAATAGAGAGCCTCATCTTTCTTTCACAAAGCAGCTGATGGATTTGAATCACCGACCTTTCAGTTAACAGTCCGATATGTACTCAACAGGATCACCAGTCACACCTTCAGAAAACCAGGCTCACTGACATTGAGTCGATTCCAACTCAGAGCGACCCTGTATGTCACCGTATAGAGCTGCCCCTTGGGGTTTCTAAGACTTCCGATTCTCACAGGAGCAAATCAGCCTCACCTTTCTCCTTTGGAGCAACTGT